AATATCTCAGTACGGTACATAAAGGTATTAGTATTGTGTGTGTGTGTGTGTGTGTGTGTGTGTGTGTGTGTGTGTGTGTTGTTTACAGTTGCAGTAGACCTCTGTGTTACCCACCATCCCTCCCTATGAAAGGAGCAAGCTAAAGGTCACCGCCTCCCTCATGCGAGGATGTTTCAGTTAAAACAGTGCAGCACCATACGCAGCGTTTCATGTCCCCCGGGGGGTTTTCTTTGAGCCACGGGCCCCTCTGGCCACACGCGAGGCCCCGGCAATGCAACTCTTTGAGGAATGAAATGATAAGGCCTGATTATAGAGTGATTATATCTGACACTAGCCAGGCATGAAAGGCGTTTGTTTTAAAGGACCCTTGTTTTCGAGGTCCGGTTTAACATCAAAGACAAAGAGGACATGTGATATTTGTTAAAAGGGAAAAGAGCAGTGGCAGGTCACTTTCATTTCCTTACTGTACTATGTCATTTTCTGGCTCAACCCACTGGACTTTATCTTCCATTGAAACAAACACAGATAGAATTTACTTCATGTTGTCGTTCACTGGTCAGAAAGAGCTCACCTTTAAGTCTGTATTATCGACTGGTTGGTATAGTGACCTAATAAAATAAAGGGAAAACCAATTCTGAATGCAAATAATAAACTATATATTTATAGTCATGCCTAGTTAAGTAATCAAGTTTAATAAATAAGCATATGAATGTTTAAGGGAAGATCCTACTGGTGGATACGGTAAAATTTTAACTAATAGATATTACCATACTTTTCCCATATTTTGGGAAACTGTATAAATATGCTTATATTATCTAATTAAAATATTCTGCTCTAATTTGGATACATTTCCATAACAAAAAATATGAACTTTGGATAAAGCCAGGTCCAAAATTCTTGTTTTATTTCATTGACATAAACGGTTTTACTGTAGACTTAGGTTTTGCATGAGAAAAAAAATCACTTTGAGGAAAATGCCTTTAAAGATATGTATTGTAATTGAAATTTACAGATGAAAATTAACACTTAAATGTGTTTCTGGGAGGTTTTCTTTCCACTAGTCCACTAAGCAAAATAGCCCAAAATTGACTAATGCCTGAAAAAAACAAAGGATTTGCTTGTAGAGTCTTTCCTTAAAAGGTTGGAAAACACACTGCATATCATTTGTTGTTAACGTTATAGGTTGAACATCCATTAAGCTTATGTTGGCTTAAAATTCATCATTTCTAAAGGATGTGTTCAAATCCTTGCTATGAGCAATAGTGATAGTGGTGCTTAACTTGGCAAACAACAGCACTAATGAAAGATAAATGGGCCATTTTAGCTTTTGTCTTTCCTACAAAGCGAAGGGGTGGTGTGGGGTTTGTCTGACAGATTTGAGGCTCTAAACAGAGCTCTGAAAGTCTCCCCCTCCAGCTTTTGCTTTGATTCATTTTCTGAATCAGGAGACACAAATGGATGTTCATTGACAGGTTATCAGTCAGCGGAGCCGCCTCTCCCTTGTGTTCCCCGCGGTGAGCCTGCAGCACCTGTCTGCAGATGCATGGACACCTGAGCACTCCCGGAGGAACGTTTACTCCTCATATGTTCAGCTTTTATAGCTCACGAGACTTGATGGTTGTGATTCATTTAGGTAACTTCACCTCAGATGTTTTTCTGGGCAGACGTACACTGGAATGTTTTTCCGAACTTAGTAAATGCATCAAAAATTGTGCTTTATGGTTTAGAAAAATTATTTTCTTCCTACAAAATTTCACATTTAATTCAATGTGTTACTTGCCATTTCCCCTAAAGGGACATGGTGAAGGAAAAAAATATGAGATGGAGGAACAATTATTTGTCAATGCTTTTGCGTTCTCTCGAAAAGGTTTTGCGTTCCCCCGAGAAAATTTACGTTTGCTCGCAAACACCTAAAAAGATTTTGCGAGCGAATGCAAAATTACTTGGGTGAATGCAAATGTTTTGCGAGCGGACGCAAAGTTTCTCTGGGGGAACGCAAATGTTTTGCGAGCGTATGCTAAGGTTTGCGAAGGAACGCAAAAGTTTGCGAGCGAACACAAAGTTTCTCAGGGGAATGCTAATGTTTTGCGAGCGAACGCAAAGTTTCTTGGGGGAACGCTAATGTTTTGAGAGCGTATGCTAAGGTTTGCGAAGGAACGCAAAGGTTTGTGAGCGAACGCAAAGTTTCTCAGGGGAACGCTAATGTTTTGCGAGCGAACGCAAAGTTTCTCGGGGGAACGCTAATGTTTTGCGAGCGAACGCAAAGTTTCTCAGGGGAACGCTAATGTTTTGCGAGCGAACGCAAAGTTTCTCGGGGGAACGCTAATGTTTTGCGAGCGAACGCAAAGTTTCTCGGGGGAACGCTAATGTTTTGCGAGCGAACGCAAAGTTTCTTGGGGGAACGCTAATGTTTTGCGAGCGAACGCAAAGTTTCTCGGGGGAACACTAATTTTTTGCGAGCGAACGCAAAGTTTCTCGGGGGAACGCTAATGTTTTGCGAGCAAACGCAAAGTTTCTCGGGGGAACGCTAATGTTTTGCAAGTGAACGCAAAGTTTCTCAGGGGAACGCAAATGTTTTGCGAAGGAACGCAAATGTTTTACAAGTGAACGCAAAGGTTTTGCGAAGGAACACAAAGGTTTTGCGAAGGAACGCAAAAGTTTTGAGAGCGAACCCATAGTTTCTCGGTGGATCGCTAATGTTTTGCGAGCGAACTCAATCTTTTGCGAAGGAACGGAAATGTTTTGCAAGCGAACGGAAAGTTTCTCGGGGGAATGCAAATGTTTTGCGAGCGAACGCAAAGTTTCTCGGGGGAACGCTAATGTTTTGCGAGTGAACGCAAAGTTTTGCGAAGGAATGCAAAGGTTTTGAGAGCAAACCCAAAGTTTCGGGACAACGGAAATGTTTTGCGAGCGAACGCAAAGTTTCTCGGGGGAACGCAAATGTGCCAAAATTACCTAAATTGGAAAAGTGGAAAAGAGGTTGCTGTCATTTGTTTGCTTCAGCATTCAACATTTCATTAATGCTTCAACATTTCAAAAAGGTATTTGCCATAGGAAATACTTTAGATGTCTTTGCTGTCCTTCCTTCACTTAAGGTTTTTTTGCAGTGATGAAGAACCATTTTTTGTTCCACAAAGAACCTTTCATTGAACAGTTCTTTTGTGCAATAAAAAAGGTTCCATGGATGTTAAAAGTTCTTCATGGAACCAACAATGTCAGTAAACAATCTTTATTTTTTGGAATGTTAAACAAGTTTCAAAAAGGTATTTTCCACAAGAAAGTCTAGCTGTCCTTCTTTGGGTTACAGTATACCTCAGGTCTTGAGGGTGTTTATATTCCACCTGTGCTCAGTCTTCAGCCCTGGTTCACTGGGTTCACGCAGTTCAGCAGTGTTGGCACACTAATCTCTCTCTCACCTCACGCCTTTCTACGCCTCTCTGCCTGACACAGTTTGATTAATTAGCATTGCATGCAGCCGAGTGGTGGCCACCATTCCCCTTACGGCTCAAACACACACACACAGGCTCTCCCTGCCATTTCTCTTTTACTCTTTCTATCATAAAGGTTTTATGGGAAACCAAAATGGATGAGAAAATTTCCCTGCGAACTAGACAGAGTAATAATGCAAAAGAACAATGATAATGATAAAGACGATATTTCTTTTTTTTAATCAGTCTCATAGTTTGGGATCTATTGGGATTTGTGGACATTTCTACCTTCTTTTCTTTTTTTTTTCTTTTTTTTGTCAGCTGGTAAAATTCAAAGCTGATAATGTGAAGCTTATCTTTATAGTCCATATTAATACAGTCCAATGCCGGTATTGACATTTTTGTCACTTTGTCTTATTCTGCATCATGCATTCTTGGCAGACAGTTGGTTGAAATTAAATCGAAATCTCAATATGGCTTAGTGCGATTATTAAAACATAACAGACTGCAGTTTATTGATATTTATTTACACATTTGCACAAACCCTGTTTAACAGAGAGCTGCTGTTTTGTTTTTGTTGTTTTACTATTATAGTATGTATTCATATTTTCAGTTAACTTTTGTTATATTTTTAGTTTTCAATTACTTTTCTTTTAAGTTTAGTAATTTTGATATCTGCATTTTGTCTTTATTTTAGTTTTAGTAATTTTAGTACTTTAGTACAACTTAAACACTACATTAGTCAAAGTCAATTAAAATTTAAATTAGAATGGTAACCATTTGACTGTTTCCCATCTGTGTGCAACAGACAGACTTGCTTTTGGAATAGCTTACTACACCATCTGTTGGTTCTTGAAAAGATTGCAGGCAAACAGTTATGTTTTTCTCTAATATACTGAAGAATGTAGAATTATTTCAGATGCTTCACTGATTTTATTATTTACAGAGCAAATGATGCAAACAATGTATTAATGTTTACATATTTATCCTCATTGAAATGGTTGTTGTTCCAAAATTACACAGAGCCTGAATACTCATTTTTATACAGATCATTTCAACCTCTCTTGTCACTTGAAATTGGCTTCAGAAACATTTATTAATTTCTGGATGAATGTAAATTAAAATTATACTTACTCATTTCAGTGTAATCAAATTACTCAATCAGACATGCCCTGTAAATCCCTCTGGGGAAAATAGTCTGAATTACAGGAATCCAAACAACATGTAATTAAGTGTAGGTCACAATCAACACAATTACTGTTGATTATAGCAGTTGGATTCAGTATAAGGTTCACTTGTTCTTTCTAAGAAGGATTCGCTGTATTTAGCTAGATTTCTTCAAACCATCTTATAACCTTAATTTTATTATAATGATAATAACAGTTGTTAGCACTGAAACCCTTCATGTAGAGAGGCCAATTGAAAGGCTGAGGCTGAGAGGTGAGGATTAGTAGGGTAGCATAGGAATATAATGCAAAACAAGTACTGTGTGTGTATATCTATGTTGATAAAATAAATGTTGATAAATTTAACATTTATAACATTAACCCTAACATTAGACTGACATCAAAGCTGTTAGTTCACTTATTTACTTTAAAAGTTCATACTTAAGATACATTAAAATTACAAAACACTAAAAGACAACTGTGTTACAGGCAGAGTTCTAACAGAAGTTGAATGTAAAGCTTTAAAGCGGTTATTAAATATTCTATTTCGTACGATATTTATATTTGTAAATATCTTAAATATTTTATACAATGTGAACATTGTAGCATTGTAGGCTGGAAACTAATGTGAAATTAAATTCTGACATATCCCTTTTTCTCATACCCATTAGATCCCATTAAATTCAAAGACCATGTGGGACATGTTTGCATCCAGATCACATGCGCTTGTAGAATGACAAGATGTTGTTGCAGTTTGGGCAGCGATGCTCAACATCTTTACAAGAATCCATCCAGAAAGGGGCTAGACAGCACGGCCAGCACCTGCAAAACAGCCATGAGAATCAATCAATCGATTAATCAATCAATCAACCAATCAATCAATCAATCATGTCAAATTGACTTGAACTACTGTAGTTGCTCTCTAATTCTCTGTTCTTCAAGACAAAAGGATATGATGTACAACGTGCAAATTAAAAGTGTTTTATGGTGTCCCGTTGATATTGAAACTTTCAACAAGCCTATTTGATCTAATAAGGGAGACCAAGTACACTCTTAAAAATAAAGGTTCCAAAAGGAGTGATGCAATAGAAGAACCATTTTAAAAATCTAAAGAACCTTTTGCGGAATGGAACGGTTCCATGGATGTTAAAGGTTCTTCATGGGACCATCATTGGCACAAAAAAAGAAGCTTTATTTTTTAAGAGGTGTAGTAAGTTCTATGAAATGATCAAGGAGTAAGAAGGTTGAATTTTACCCAATGAGGGCAAGGCAGCCGCAGGCCATCCAGGTCATGAGTCCGGAGTAGTGATCCGTTATAGTGATCACCTGGTGCTTACAGTGAGGGCACATGGTCTGACCAGGTAATTCACGCAGGCTAGGCAGCATCACTGTGGTTGTTACGGCTGTAATGCACACAAACACAATAAACGATCCTCTACGACTAGTTTTGACAATCGAACAACTTAAATGGTTACATTGCTATATTGTTTCCTTGTTTGTCATTAGTTGAACTTTAGGCAGTGGAAGAGCTTTTGGTATTTGGAGGTATCAAGATGAATATCTCACACATGACTTTAAATGGTGTGTAGTATTACACTGAGAAAAAAAATGGTGTTTTACTTCGAAACTATTTTCACTCATAAAATGCTTGTGAAGTTCACAAATAATTGCGAATAAACGGCAAGTATCACATTGAATTTCAAGGATCACATGTAATTCAATGTGATACTTGCAATTCAATGTGATACTTAATACTTGTAATTGAATGTGATACTTAATACTTGTAATTGAATGTGATACTTAATACTTGTAATTCAATGTGATACTTAATACTTGTAATTCAATGTGATTCAATATGATACTTAATACTTGTAATTCAATGTGATATACTTAATACTTGTAATTCAATGTGATATTTGATACTTGTAATTCAAAGTATCAAGTATCTAATGCAATTTGATACTTGATACTAGAAAGATTGAAATAGTATTTTCTTGTAAAACATACTCCAATAAAATCATTAAAAATCATTAAAAGATTAAAATAATTAAAAATAATTGAAGTTGTCTGAGATTGATAGTTAAAACTGACACTTACTTGTAGTTCTAGGATACATGTCAGGGTTTGGACCTTTAAAAAGATTTTAAAAAGGGTGCTATTGCACTAATTCAATGATTTACAATAGATACAATAGAGTCATTATTGAGTCATTTGGAAGATTATCTACTGAAATAACTGTTTGAGATTGATCATTGAAAACTGTAACTTACTGGTAGCTTGAGGGTACATCCCAGGGTTTGGGCCTAGAAAAACATTTAAAAAATATAGTTACTGTGATTAAAAGATTGTTAATGACAGTATAACTTAAGTTCATTTGGAGCTTTTCTATCGTTTGATAGTTAAAAAAGGTAACTTACTGTTAAATTGAGGGTATATCCCTTGGTGTGGACCTTTAGAAGAAGATATTAAAGCTGTCACTGCCAGCAGATTCCTTTATTTGATCTTAAAAAGTATTACCATAATAAACCGCAGTTATCATGCTCTGTATAGCCATCAAATATCATTTGTCATATATCATTTGATCAACTTGTGATTGCCAAGTAACCGTTCTTTATACAGCACTAGTGTTGGATAGTAACTGATGTAACAGGAATGCGTAATCAGATTCCAAAAATTAAGTACTTTTAATTAGATTAGATTATATTAAGTTTTAAAATACTCGTAATCAGACTACAGTTACTTTTTATATATATACATGATCCCATATTATACATACAATGGCAGTAAATCATTAATAATGTATTGATTATTTTTCATGTTTAAAATTTTCCTTTCTAAAAACGCAGTAACGCTTGTATACATTCAGAAAGTCTTCTAGTTTTGCGAATCTGCACACACATACCAAACACTAGTCAGGTGGCTATAATTACATGGAAAACTTAGGGCCCATACACTCGGCGCAATGCAGCGCCAGGCGCGACGCAAGTGTTTTTTGCTAGTTTCAGCCCGACGCAGTTATCATTTTCACGTCCTGCGCCACGTTGTTTGAATAGCAAATGCATTTGCGCCATCTGTGCACCCATGGGTGTGCTGGTCTGAAAACGAGGTGTGTTCAGGCGCATTGTTGACGCGTTGCTATTTTGAGGTGAGTGAAATAGACTGCGCCATTGACCAACTGAAACCTGGTCTAAAGTCAATGGCGCAGTATTGTTCTGTTATTTAAAGGGTGCATTGGTAATATACGCCTATAGTCGGGTGCACAACGTGCTTATTCTCTGCTTATTATTATTCTAAGTACTCTGCTTATTATACACACATGGACATGCAGTAGCACACAAACATGCCAAATATTAAAAATAAAAGGATTAAAAAGTAAAAGATTATTATTGTGTACATAAAGATATGGTGGAATCCGGCTTGTCACATATATGGTCTGATCGCGCGCTTTAACCTCGCGCGTAAGCAGATCCGTTTCCTCTCTGGAGACTCGTTCAGTTTTTCCGCTTGCAAATTCCGTCATGTAAATAGCGAATCCGCCATGGCGCGAGCGCAACTGAATTTTAAAGGGAATGGGAGATGAGACTCTGATTGGTTTATTGGACGTTACGCCCAAAACACACCCATTACACTTAAGAGGATAGGGACAACCCTTTTAGACCAGTTATTTAAATTATCAATCAGTGATTCATTTAACCATGTATTGTCTATGGAGGGCTTTTTTTATTTCAAATACATTTTTGCTATAATTTCTATTACTTTAAAAAATATTTAATTTTTTTTATGATTTATGTAATTATTAGCTTTTCATTAAACTCACAAACCCCCTGCAGTTCCTTCACGAACCCCTGTTTGGGAAACTCTGACGTAATATCATGTTTAATGCAGTTCATGTGGTTGATAACAAATAATGGAATATATTTATTTCTCTTTGCATTTTTATATATTAATATGGCACTGTTCTATTCAATGAAACGAGTTAGGTCAAAAGTTATCTAAAAGGATTATATTACCAAAAAATTGAAAAAAAGTTGATTTTGTAATTGTATTTTTGAATAATGTTACCATTGTCTTCCTTCATATTATATTTTATAGGCTTTTTACATCGTTTTAAGAAATGAACCCGGCATGCAACCTATTAAACTAGTTTAACAGAAGAAACATACCTCCCTGATAGTTTGGATTGGCTCCGGGCTCTGGGTACGAGCTGTATCCAATATTAATATTGGGATATGGAGATGAGTGGTAACCTGGGTTATGGGACACATCTTTTCCTCCGTAATCGACTGGAAGACCTGGATAGGGTGGAGCAGATTCAAGAGCCTCAAAGGCTTCCAAAGCTTCTATAGCCTCCAAATCCTCCAGATATTCCTCCGTTTCCGAGTCATCCAATGCGGCTTCTCCTGTCTTATTCATATTCTTAGTTCCCTAAACAATAAGTCATAGCAGAATGACACAGAAAATGAGTTACAAGTGAGGTTCGCTGTAGTCCTTGGGTGTTTGGACTACCTGCACACCAATGCAAATGCCAACAAAATAAATGTTGACAAGACGCATTCAAATCTTTACAGTCCATCCAAATGTCGTACCAACATGGAAATGTTCTGTTTGTAAAGTAATTTGCACTGCTTTTCCTTTTGGTCATGGAAACAGACCTTAGTTTTCCACCACATCATCAAGACCAGGAACTGAAGACAAATGAAGTATAGCTTGTAAAAACCTAGTTGTAAGTCTTTCCCTCTTCCATTTAAAAAATCAAATTGAGTACTATACTATTACTATTACAAAAGGTTATTCTGTCCCTAATTTTTTTTTAATTCCCTAAATTATCTGTTTTGAAGTCTACAAAAGAATTGAGACTACAGTAAATACTTAATGAAATAAAAAGAATGACAGCAATGATGAATTTTCCTTCTTTATATAGGTGAATTCAGGTTGATTGGGACCATTTCAAGAACACTGTTGCCCAACAATGAGTCTTCTAGACTGTTTCTCTCAAAGATTTGTCAAAGAATTCTCTCTGTCGTCATTCACACAAAGTCAGAAAACTGAGCTCTTAGACACAGATTGCGAATACTTTATAATTGTACCATTGAAAATGATTGCGACTAACTGAAAGTTCTTTCTGGTTATCAGTCAACTGTTGGTCATTAGATCATATCTAATTAACCAAAGGAAAGTTTCACAGATATACTCATCTGTATATTCATCTTCATCTCTTTCCACAATGATCAAATCTGCATCCAGACCAACTTACCTACAGGAATGACAGGTCAGTGAGGTTGGATGTTGTATTTTCTTAGAGACCAGAAGAAACCGAGTTCAGGAAAAGGAGCAACGGGTGTGTGTGAGTTCTAGAAGAGGGTGTAGAAAGGAAGTAAAACAGGGAGGAGATTTTAGACCGAATCCAGACCATACACTTCCGGTGATACGTCAGATGACTCTCCTCAGATGTCTGACAGAAATAAAGTCAGTCTGGTTAGTAATAAGTGAAGCTGGTAATGCTGTTTGTGGAGTTGTTTATTCCTCCTCTGCTGAGATCTTCACAGATTTAATGTCTTCTTTTCTCTTCAGTGGATTTCATCTTAGACTGTGTCTGAAGTCAGTTGTAGTTCTTGTGTTTCTGCTCGTCTCTTTTTCTATTCTCTTCTTTCCTTCAGTGATTCTGCTTGTTAACAGGCTTATTAAGGATGAGATGACTCCATATTTAATATACACGGATTGTGTGGCTCCGATAATGTCCAGTTCTGGTTTATTTCTTTGCTCTTGGCTGACATATGACATTGCTATGGCCTGCTTGTGGCCCAAATCTGGCAAACAGGAGCGGTCCGCCCAAGGGCCGTCATTCAACACTGCATGTGGGCCAGATCAGTTTTCCACAAGTGCCAGATGTGAGACGGATCTGGGACGTCAATGTTGTTATGTGGGTTTGTTTTTGATGGCTCAATACTAATTCAATGAACATACTCGATCGGGTGACAGTGGGCATGGAAATGAATATAGTGAATTTTATCGAGAAGGTCTCGGAGTAGACATATTTCTGTGTCATCTGCTTTTGTGCTTTTTTGTTGTTGTCGTTTGTTTTTTTCTACTGTCCGACTGCAGGCCACTGACCTTTTTTTAATATCGTGGCTCTATATGATAACTCCTGTGGTGATTTATTCATGCTTATGCATTAGTTTGGTTTTCTTGAGCCTTGCCTTGCCATTAGTTTTGCTGCATGCAGAGTATTTGAATATCTTTGCATTCACATTTCTTTTGTTTAAAGAAGTAAATTTAGTGATTAGATTATTGAAAATCTTCATATCTTATAAGATATACAGAATATGTACTGTATTTTGAACTTTTGTATATCACTATATTAACCTTGTGTGGTGTGTATATATATATATATATATGTATGTGTGTGTGTGTGTGTGTATATTAGGGGTGTAACGGTACACAAAAATCACGGTTCGGTACGTACCTCGCTTTTAAAGTCACGGTTCGGTACGTTTTCGATACAGCAAAAAGAAAGAAATGCCAGAGAAATTTCCTATTTGTTAAAAGAAAAAATATTTTTAAATAACAGTTTTCCTACATCTTGAAACTTTCAGGTTTATAAATGGGGGTCATCTTTGAAGGATGAACAAATAATATTTTGGTCATCACATTAAAAATAACATTTAAAAAGGCCTATATATTATTTGGGTTTTGATGTGCTGGAAAAAGATGTGTGAAGTACTTGAAAGCATTTTACTATTCCAGCCAAACTGGTTACAGTTTGTGTTAGCTACTATATTAAATCCATGGTGAATGTTGCTGGTCTGTGGACGTAAAGTATTACTAGCTCATTCACGGCACAATGTTTCTCCTGGTTTCCAGGTCAGCGCTGTTTGATCTAATAGAGATCTACGGTTAATAACGGAGAAATGTGAATGCTTCTCACTAGATCTCGCAGCGATGTTATTACTTCAGTAGTCTCGCGTAGCCAGACCTTCAGACTGACGGCTGAAGGTCTGGAATTCATAGCAGCTTTATTTGGCCAAGGCCCGCCCATAAGGCCGTTTGACCGACATGTCAAACAACCAATTACAGTTCGTTTCGTTCAGCGTCACGTTTCGGGGCGTGGAAATGTCCCCACAACAACAGACCGGCGTGCTACAAGTCAGTCAGCATAGCTCTGCGAAGCACTTCCCCTGCGAGCTCTGCGAAGCACTTCCGCTGTCGACCCTACGGGCTCGACTCGAAGTCTTCAACCCGGATGCAGCCGCTCCGCCCTCCGGGGGACCGCGCAGGAAGAAGCGCCGTTCCCTGAGGCAGCCGGAGCCCGTGGCCACAGCGACGCGCTCACCGGAGGATCTCCCTCGAGCCCCGCTTTCGCCTTCCCCGCCTCCCCTCCCCGACGCGCAGCTGCCGCTCACGAGCCTCACTGCCGTCGCGTCAGAGGAGGAGGCCGAGGAACACGCCACGAGAGACTGCTGCTCCATCCTGGCATCGGACAGCGAGGAATGGTCGCTTCACTCCGGCTCCTCGTCGATCCAGGAATCCAGCCGTTCCTGCGCTGGAGCTGACGCGGAACTTATGCACCTGCTGACGCAGGCCGTCGACCGCCTCGGGCTTGAGTGGTCGCTGCCAAAGGAACCCGCGCCGAACAGGCTCGACGGCTGTTTCCTTCAAAGTCGCCGCCGTGCAGCTTCAGCGAGCAGGCCCGCTCCATTCCTGCCGGAACTTCATACGGAGCTGACGAAGTCTTGGAATGCACCATTCTCCTCGAGACTTCAGTCCCAGGCCTCCGCGTTGCTCTCCCAAGTGGACGGCGCCGCCGAGAAAGGGTACACGGCTATTCCCCCTGTGGAAGAGACGGTCGCAGCGCACCTTTGCCCGCCCTCCGCGAGATGGCGGTCTCGGTCAGCCCTCCCGTCGAAAGCCTGCAGAGCCACGTCCGCCTTGGTCGGCCGCGCATATGCCGCCTCCGGCCAGGCCGCATCTGCTCTCCACTCCATGGCTGTGTTGCAGATCCTGCAAGCCGACCTCCTCCGTGAATGGGATGAGAAAGGCCGGGATCCAGCTGCGGTTACAGATCTGAGAAGCGCGACGGATCTCTCTCTCCGCGCCACCAAAACCGCAGCTCAAGCCATCGGACGAGCCATGGCCGCGTTGACTGTACAGAGAGGCACCTCTGGTTGACGCTCGCGGATGTGAGCGTCTTCCTCTTCCTGCCGCGACGCTCGAGCTCCGCTACAGGCCGCTCTCGTGAGAAACAAAGCCAGCCTCCTGTACGAGCTAGCACCCAGCGTCCAGCGCAGCCCCAGCCTTCGCAGTGACGTCAGGGCGGCCGCCCTAGGTCGCGCTCAGACAGCTGTCACAGACCGCCGCCCCCCAGGGGGCCTCGGCAGAAGATCACGCTGAAGTCTGAGCACGCGAAGTCCTCCTAACAAAGAGAGAGAAAAGACGCGCGTGTCCCGCCACGGCCGGACCGCCGTCAAAGCTTATTTCCCTGTCAGTCCCCTTCAACCAGGCTACTGCAGTGGTTCATTTAGCAGCCAACGAGCCGGTTTGTCCACCCTCTCGCCTGCACACAAACGCCGTTTTTACGGCGACCCAGAGAAATCTCAAAAAGAGTATTATGTCTGGTCCGGCTCACGCCGTCAGTGTTTTAAGTGTAGTGAAAGTGCCCATGCCCCAGTGTTCACCCCTACACACAAGCACTTCAAATATCGTGTCACCCACAGAGCACACTCTCATAAAGCGCAGAAAAGCCGCTCGAGTGTTGAATATAAGAAATGTGTCCACAGGTCTGTGCCCACTATCTGCCCGCTCTGTTACACGGTCAAGAAAGCAGGTTATGAATGTAAGTCCCGTGCCCGCCAGAGAGCGTTCACGCTTACTAACACAAACCTCCTCCCGGGCGCCGCCCGCGCGTTTAAGTGCTATCACAAAACGCAGGGCGTTAATAAGACGCTCCCCATCCATTTTGATCGGGACGTCAAATACACGTGTAAGTCTCGTGCCCGCGCAAATGCGCTCACGCTTACAGAACGCTTTTCCGCCCAAAGCGCCGCTCGCGCGTCAAAAAGTGAGGAGAAAAGGTTCCCCATCCCTTATGATTGGGACATCTCACATAAATCAGCCGGTTTCGGCTTTCAGCGAGCAGCCGTTGCCAAGAACAAAGAGCGCGAGCGCGCCGCGCTTTCAGCTCCGGCTCAGTTTCACAAGCCCGCAAATGGCGGCGATCTGAACCCGGAGGCCATTCGCCCTCTTGCGGCTCACATAGCTGCGTGGGAATCTATCCCAGGGATTTCAGAATGGGTGCTGAGCACAATAAAGCAGGGCTATACACTTCAATTCATTCGCCGTCCCCCGCGCTTTCGAGCCCGGACCGCGACGATAGTGAATGCGGAAGTAGCACACCTACTTCACGCAGAAATAGCAAAGCTGCTGTGCAAAGGGGCTATAGAAAAGGTGCCGCCTTCTCTGAGCGAGTCAGGCTTTTACAGCTGTTATTTTCTCGTACCCAAGAAGGACGGAGCCTTCAGACCTATCCTAGATCTGAGACATTTGAACAAAGTGCTTGTGAAAAGACCGTTCAAAATGCTTACGACCAGGAAAATCCTCGCGCACGTTCGCCCGAGGGACTGGTTTATTTCTCTAGATCTGAAGGATGCCTATTTTCAGATTCAGATAATACCCCGTCACAGGCAATTTTTGAGATTCGCCTTCGACGGTCAGGTATATCAATACACCGTCCTGCCGTTCGGCCTGTCTCTAGCACCCCGTACATTTACGAAGTGCATGGACGCGGCGCTCGCCCCCCTGAGAAGTCAGGGGCTGCGAATTAGGGCTGTTGCGATAACCGCAATATTGCGGTACCGCGTTACTGACAGGCCAACCGCAGAGGAATGCAAGTAACCGCAGGAACCGCCAAACCGTGTTTTCTTTTTTCATAAGGCCACCCTTCGTAGTTCGTACCATCGTACCGTCTTTGAAGTCAAGTCATGTATATTCGTGAAAAGGTTGCCGTTTCCAAGAAAAGCGAAATATTTGTCGTATCATCCTTTTAACGTGTAAGGGTAGGCTATTTACCATGAATGGCGTCAGCGCTGGTCAGCATTACACAGCGCGAGGAAGCCGTGGGGGGAAAGCAGCGAGTCACGCATTGGTCTCTATTAAGTGAAGCATTGCTTCAGCTTTGCCCAAAAGTGAAGCATTGCTGGCCAGCTAAGCCTTGAAAAGTGGAGCTCAAATTAAAAAAAAAAATTAACGCCTTGTTTCATTACATCTATCATTTAAGGAATCAGCTTTTTTGAACGTTTTCGTTGAATAAACGGTTTAAAGACTCACTCAAATACAGTCCGTTGGCGTAACAATGTGCGTGCTGAGTGACAGTCTTTCAATGCGCAGAGACGCTGTT